CTCCAAGCGATAAAAAAAATTGAATTACTTCAGATAGTTCCTTATGACCAATCTATCTTATTCCAATCCAGTTCACTTTTCTTGCCTTCGAAACCAGCCTCAGGGTTCCATGATGCGTATTTCAACAGTTTTCTTTGATCATTCATGGTCCGATGAGCCTGACATACTAGCATTCACAGTTTGCTATCACCCGACGATGCCAGAACCTGATTGGTCTAATATATTGGGTTCTGTTTCCGATCACTTCTCCAATAGGGAACATATCGGAATTTTATTCAGTTCACCTACAAGCTGTTAGAGCTTCAGATAAATATTGGGTTTCGCCATCATTTCCTTCGCACCAAACTGCATATATTGACTTTATTTGTATTGAAAACGAAAATTCGATATCGCATGATATATCGGGTTCTGCCTTAGAATTGATGTACACCATGAAATGTTAAAATCTGAAAGAAATGAAAGTAATTCGGAGGCCCAAACAAAAATTGCAACTTGCAAAATTTTTTAGGTGAAATGACAGAACAGGAGATAATTTCATAGTCGACACATAGCAGTGAATCTGGAATGAGGATTCACTATATAATTAATGATTGCCACATGCTTGAGGTAGCTCAAAATTGTATTGCTGAGGCAATATTCGAAATAACCTTCAACACAAGAAAAATCATCTGAAACTACATCAAATAACTTGATGTTGGTTACTTCAACTCAATAATATCTCAACATATGATTTTCGAGGATAAAATAACGAAAAGTCGCTCCAAATGGATGGAACAAAACAGAATTCCAAGATAGTGCTGCTACTGTAGAGTTCATCAGAATGAAAGATCAAAATCTCTAGAATGCTAAGTATATGCTACAATTTCTGAAGCGAGAGTTGTCGCTATCAAATTGTGCGAGAGATCCGAAGAGCCTTGATGTTAAAAATATCATAATTTTGCTGTGGGTTTTTGGTAGTAGGGACCAGAAAACAACAAGGAAGCCGTCATCATGGCCAGACAAAACATCGAATCTGTGGTTCAAAACCAGAAATATTTAATTGATCTGTTTTTTTTCTCGGAAATGCGGGTTCATATTCCATTGATGATTCTTCATTTACTTCTCTTCGTATAGAGACATTATTATAAGATCGAATCGACCAGATTGAGTGAATGTGAATTATGCATTATCGCTGCTCGATCTATCGGATCCTAGAATGGTTTCTACAATCAGTAGGCATTCATGCCGCTTCAGTTCCAATAGACCCATATCTCACCCATGCTGAATATACGAGCCCGTAATTGTCAAGAAATTAACAGGAAATTGTCACGAATGTGACAAAACGTCAAAAACTGTAGGAAATACGTGAAGAAACCGATTCAAAACACCATCAAAACATTGGAGAAACGGCACACATGCATCGAAATGTAGTAGCACGCCAGAAAAACGTGGTATGAACTCCACAAAGGCGTCACGCATTCGTCCAACTGTCGAAACAATTATTCACGTCTGGTAGTACATTCTTGCCCGAAGTTGATTAGCATTTCTCAAAGAAAAGAAAACCTCAGAGACATCTCCACCTTTTCATTGATGTAGGAATAATTCGAGAGAACATCTTTCGGACTAAGAAGAGTCTATCTTCCGCACGAGTGGAAACCTCCTATGAGTTTAAATGTGGGAGAGATTTGATGTCAGGAAACGAAATTATTCACCCACATAGAGGTGAAAATAGTTCCAATTGAAAGTGATAGTGCCACCGCCAGTCGTCATTATCTCATTGAATACAAAGTGTTCCATTTTCTCATTCGATCCTGATTGAAGATGACTTCGAGCATGCCTTGTACTATCTGGGCAATTTCTCACGTACCTTTGACGTGACTCAGAGTGGTAATGAAGTCAGTACTTATTTGTGTCATTATGTGCAAGTTTGCGAATCCATCAACTGGCTGGAGAAAATATGTATACCTTGATGAAGTCTCTTGACATGACGCATTGTGCAATTCTCTTATTGCTTTTCTGTTCTCGAAGGCGGAAGAAACTCCAGAATTGAGCTGGCATGTCATGATTCAAAACAATACATAGATCTGGTTGAGATGCCAAGAATACCATCAGTGCAGGAAGTAAGAGATCGGATCGGCCAGTTAATGTTATAATGTGAAACTAGGTTCGAAGGGAAGACATGAATCTATTTCCCGAAGAACAGTATACACAGGGCGAACGACACCCATGAAAGCCCTAAGAGATCCTGGGTTGAGAGGTGGCACAAAAAGGAAGTGTGAAAGGGGTCTCAACACTCCTAGCTGGCCACTTGATGGGACGTTTGGGACTGCTTGAACTGTTGTCAATGATAAAGGAGCTCAAATTAATAGGATGAAGTCAAATCATCATGTTGAGTATTGAGCACAATACACATGGGTATATTTGGTTCACTTAACGACAGCTGTATAACTATGGGTTTGAAGCTGTCAAAGAATTGCAGGGTCACATTTACAAGGATGTTACACTCAATAATATGGTGTGGACGTTTATTTACGATAGTAATACAGCTCCAAAAATTCTCCAGGTTCTGTAGTCTCAGAGATGAATTCTCAACGTTTCTGAGTGATAGTGGAATCATGCATTCTTCGATTAACGAAGATGCTATTTTTTTCCACCTCCATACCAGTAGCGTATTATTCAATTTGATGAAGATGAGAGTTGTTCTCGATCAACCTGTTCACAACTATTGTGTTCCAGATGTAGAAAGGAGGATTATTGCTAGATTCTCATCATTATAAATATAGTTCTCACCTGAATGTAACTGCATATTTGATATGGCAAGGGCATATGAAACTATGTTTCATTAAAAATATCAATTGGCTATACAGTGTGTACATAAAGTAAGGAATAAATTCATTATCTCGAAAAGGAAAAGCTTTTCGGAAAAATCCTTGGACACGTCAACTTTTGTTTCAAGATGCGCATCTTTTGGAGTCCTAGTCGGAATGGTGACGTCATTACTCTTCCGGAAATATCATCATCGATTTCTTCTTCAAATGACAACCTATAGTTTTGACAGTGCCATTTAGAAGAGCATATTTTTCTCCACACAGAACATCAACAGTTTTGTCATGTCACATAAAGAAATTTTCGAGAAAATTAATGATTTATTGATTTTAAGTTAACTTACTTTATTCGGTTAGTTGAACAAACTAATTAATGAAGGGTTCAAAAAGTCCTTCCTAGCATTGTGAAGTTCTCTGTCAGCACGCCACTGGTGAGTTCGTTTTTGCTAAGCCCTAAAAAAATCACCCTTTTTATTATCGTAAAAAGACATGTTACTGTTTGTGATACCTGACGTTTGGTTGATGTATGCCACAGTTTGAAAGTTCATATTTCATTGATTCTCTTCTTTTCGAAACAATTAAGAATAAAATGCGCCTTTCTGTTACTCAGAGAATCGAAATTATGATGATGATTGGCTACGGTGATAGAGTACGAACGCAACAAGAAGTAGTTGGACTGTTTAATACTAAATACCCGGATAGGCCCATAACTCAATCGGCAGTAAGCAAAGTTGAGAAAAAGTTTCGAGACACTGGTAGTGTTGATGATCTCCCTAAAGCTGGGCGTCCTAAAATCAATGAGGAGGTCAAATTGAATGTTTTATTAGCAATGGAGGAAAATCCACACAACAGCCTAAGAAGCCTGAGCCAAAATCTAGATATCCCAGTTACAACTACACATAAAATTATGAAATTGGAAAAGTGGCATCCTTATAAGATGACTCTGACCCAAGAACTTTCCGAGGACGATCCAGACTGACGGATGCAGTTCTGCCAAACGTTAATGGATTTGTGCAATGCCAACCCTTTGCTAGTAAAAAATATTGCTTTCTCTGATGAAGCTACCTTTACACTAACAGGAACAGTGAATCGGCAGAATTGCAGGTACTGGGCTAAGGAGAATCCAAAATGGATGAGAGAACATCACACACAGTATTCTCAGAAAATAAATGTTTGGGCGGCGATTGTAGAAAACAGAATTATTGGACCCCACTATTTCGAAGAAACCTTAAATGGTGCAAGATACCTTCAATTCCTACAGGATCATGTTATACCCAGTCTGGTGATCTTATTTCCTAACGCAAATAACCCTGCTATACCAAATGAAAACTTATGGTACCAGCAAGATGGTGCACCGCCGCATTACGCAGCTGATGTTAGAAGGTATCTTGACCAAGTCTTTGCCAATAGATGGATAGGTAGGCGTGGTGCTATTGAATGGCCCCCAAGATCTCCGGACCTTACTCCATTAGATTTTTTTCTTTGGGGCCATCTAAAGAATGTCGTGTACAAAACTAGACCAGATAATATCGAGGAATTGAAAACTAGGATTACAAATGAATGTAACAATATTACTCCACGAACTATCACGAAAGTCCAACGAGAATTTATTGACCGTCTTGGATACTGCCAGGCTCAGGAAGGACTTCAGTTTGAACATTTGATCAATTAGTTTGTGCAATCAACTGTGTAAAATAAATTACTATAAAATCATGATAACATTCATTTTCTCGAAAATTTCCTTATGTAACATGACAAAACTTTTGATGTGCTGTGTGGAGAAAAATATGCTCTTTTAAATGGCACTGTCAAAACTATAGGTTGCCATTTGAAAAAAAAATCGATGATGACATTTCCGGAAGAGTAATGACGTCACCATTCCGACTAGGACTCCAAAAGATGCGCATCTTGAAACAAAAGTTGACGTGTCCAAGGATTTTTCCGAAAAGCTTTTCCTTTTCGAGATAATGAATTTATTCCTTACTTTATGTACACACTTATAACTAAACATTCGCATTATTCAGTTAGCTCAAGAGCGAACGTGAAAATCATGAGAGTTAACTACTGAACTCTGGAAGTACTTTCAATGATCCAGAGAAGAACCTTCCACTATAGATTTAGCAATCCAATGGGCAGATTAAATGAATACGTGTGATAATGAATCTATGAATGAATCAATACTTGACATATCTTTCTCTTGAATTTATTGTTATACTGTACAAAAATATGTTGAATATCAACGAAATTAAATATCCTGGGTCTAACTGTACAAAATTAAATTTAGAATCACTTAAGTCATTGATTGGCTGTTCATGGGGCAACTGGGAGATGAGCACCTGTGGCTCTGAATCCATCCTTGTCGGCCACGTAGACGACTTCATAGAGAATACCGTCTGGTCCGGTGTAACTGTAACGGCCCTGGACTGCGAGGTGTTCATCATCAGTTCCAGCATTCTGTAGTTGACCTTGCTCTTGTCTCGCTTGTCCATCGCTAGTTTCAACTCTGAAAAAAAAAAATGATTCAATATCTAAAAACTAACGCGAGACAAAATTGTGACAAAGTTTTTCGTTCTCCGACTTTAACTATCAATAAATTCAGTACACGCACAATAATTCTTAGTGTCGTGATTGTTCATGAGTTTTGTTGGCTGTGAAATAGGATGAGTAGGATTCTGATTTGAGTCATATGTTGTATTTCGTTTTTCGATCAAAGAATAAAACGCAAAAAAATACTTTCTCGTCTGACTCGAAGGTTATCAAAGGATCTTCTGTAAATTTATTGGGGATAACCATTGATGACTCACTGGAATAGGGTCCTCACATTGAAAAATCATGCAGAAAATTGTCCTGTCAATCATTCCTGATACGTCAACTCAAGAAGATTTTGAGTGAAGAAGTATTGTTAACGTCGTACTTTTCACTCTTTCATGCCCATTTCAACTATGAAACGTTGCTTTGGGGAAACAACTAAATCTGTGGAAGCATTTTTTCTACGAAAACGGGCAATTAGAACCTTGGCTAACTTGCGGTACACAGATCACTGTAAGCCATATTTCAAACTCATCCAAATAATGTCACTCCCATGCTTATATATTTTCAGCTCTCTACTTGAAATTCACAAAAATCAGAATGCATTCGAGTCACATGCCGACTATCACGACTATAATACAAGAAATGGTAAACTGTTGAAGGCGCCAAAGTTCAAACTTAGGGTGATTTCTAACATATCTTTAGATTTTTGACTCTTCAACAAACTACCAACAAATGTAAAAAACCTAAGCTGTCAGTGATTCAAAAAGGTTTTGAAAGTGTATCTACTTTCACACTGTTTCTACTCTGTTGGCGACTACATGGAGGCACCACTAGATTTTTTCGATAGTCACAATCTAATATCGTTAACAAGTTATTTACTGTGTTTTTCATTATGTATATTTCAATATTCGTCGTGACTGTGGGTTATATCATTATACTTTGTGTGTTATCATTATTCAAAATTTCATCTGTAGTCTTATACTGTTCGTTTGTCACTATAAATAATAATATTTGTTTTTTACCTTTCTATCTTCACATGACTAGCTACAAACATTACCTTCATGTATAAGTAGTCAAATAAACGTTATCTATCTATCTATTGCGATCCGGTGGCCGAGAGCGCAAAGGTGCTGAGTTCGTTAGGAAACTCCAACCGAGACATGGAATCGAGCACAACTTAGGTCATAGGATGTTTAAAGCATGTGAACTTCTCGTACCTCACGCAAGTTTTGACTCATTGGGCATTGGTTCATGTTCCGGAACCACCAATTGAATTCAATTTAAAAAAAAAAAATGATTTATATTTCCCCACATAGTTGATCAGGATCCGGAGAATTTTAAGCAACAGAATGAGAGGAAGTTTATCATTTTCAGTCCAACGTTAATATTATTGATCAATATTATATGTACTCATTGTTTCACATTTCCAGAATTCCATTATACTAGTTTCTGAGCCAGGTAGCTGCGTGGTGAAAGCGTCAGTATTTTATTTCATGTCGGATTGTCTGTGCGTGAGTCCGAATCCAACGACTGCAGGAACTTTTCTGATGGCCTAAGCAAGTATTTGAGATTAAAAGTTATCAAAAGGTAAGGCCTACTTCATTCTTCGCTCCCATAAATCAATTAAATACAACCGAAGGCGGATATGAACAGTGTTGCAGAAAAAAAAAGAACTTGTACTTACGCGTAATTATATCCATCGACACCGATGTTGTCGTTGTCGTAACGGAGGATTACGGCATCCTTTGATGCGTCCCTTACAGCCCCTACACTAGAACGTACTGCCTGAGGCTGTACTTGGAGCTGTGGGGCTGCTGCAGCTACAGCGATGAAGGCGAAAATAAGAGCAACCTGAAATTTGAAAACTCCTTCAGAATTGATACACTATGAAACGTGCTCAAGGGTTCGATATATTTTCCAGGAAAAACTGTCACGCGTGTTATTTACACAAAGACGATAGCTAGGATTGGATCATTCTCAATAATCATCATTTCTCTGGTAGAAGTCCATGCTCAAATTGAAGGTGATGAGATAATTAAGAGAACAAACTCGAAGTCTCACTCCAAGTGAATTTTAATGAAATAATATGTGCTACATGATTCTACTCCTAGGAGTCATCATCAGGCTGAAATACAATATATATATAATTGATAGAGAAAAACCGGCTGAAGATGGCCATTTGAATGGCCGAAACATGTATCAACCTCAATGAAGCAGGATTGACTGCCTGATTATACATCAAAAATTGTGGAGACGACTCTGGGTTTTTCTCTATTAATCATTCCACTCCACTTTGAGTATGGACTACTACAGAAGATATATATAATTATAAGTTTTTTGTATTCCAGCCTGATGATGACTCCTAGGAGTCGAAACATGTAGCACATATTATCTCATTAAAATTTACTTGGAGTGAGACTTTGAGTTTGTTCTCCTAATTATAATTATCATTTTAGCAGCAGATACTTTGATATCAGCATGATATTGGAGCGAAGAGATGCACCTAAAGAAAGTTTCACTAGATTCACATGCTTGAGCAGAAACGAATGAAGCTCTGAAAAAAGCAGAACTTTCCTGTGATATAGCTAGAAATATATATACTTGATAAGAGTTAAAGAAGCGGAGGAATATTCGAAGGAAGTAGCTCTCAAACGCAAAGAACATTGTTTGTTCAAATTAGCAAAGACACAAAGGCTGTGCCAGAGTTCTGCCGACGATTCACAATAGTGCGTACTATTTCAGTATATTTCCTTCCATTGTCACAGTATGACAAAATGAGGCAAATGGTTCTTATCCTCGATGCCCATCATTATATCCAAATAGATGCTATTCTCGAATGAAATGAAATATTGAATAAGCTTTGACAAATTATTTCATCTCCAGATGAAGTCAGTAATTCAAAAACATTCGAGCTTTGTTATGGTGAAGGACCCTGCTCCTTTATTTAGTGTATCCTGAAATCATACGATTCGGTGACATTTGTGACATTTGTTATATTTCATTGCATCATCCAATTCATATTAGTAGATACATTCATCATATTGAAGCAACGAATGATGATTACTATTCATGAATTGAACGCGAATCCGAGAACATGCATTGTTGGTTGATTATTCTGCAATCATCACTTCTGACCCTTATACCAATATCAAATATAAGTATACGTGGTAATTCGAATTTGACGCTTACCATTTAAATTTCGAGAGCCATTAGGAATACGAATATGGTTGTGTTGGGTCAAAGTTGCGCATTCAGGTGACTAATAATATGCTATTCGGAAAGTTTTGAGATTAGAGTACCTATGTTTGAAAGTATCCGCGGAAAAAACGGAATGTTGAAATTTGATTCCATCTGTTCTTTGCATCATCGATCAAAGGATATTATGATGAATTGCACTACTTTATTGTCTTTCATAGCATAATACACATGGTGTTTTCAGATTTGACATTCAACCTCTCGTCCTTCGGCCAGCATCATCAACTCATATAACTTTGATGGACGAAATATCTTTTGTTTTTGTTCTCAACAGAACCTCGTACAAGTTACCATTCTCCTTTCGGAGATATTGAATCGGAACACAAAATATAGTCGATGACGGTTGCTGAAAGACGAAACGTCAGATAGCAGATCCTCGAAAAACGATGTTCGTGAGAAAAACTGACAACGTGGAAGTGTGATTGATTTCGGAATCCTCCAATCAACACAGCCTGAGAGGAAAGAAATCAAAATTACAAAATTTTCTTTTTTCATACCTCCGGACATACTCGAAATCGCAAGAATTTTCAAATGGTATATTGTTAGTTTGGTGACCCCGCAACTATGTCCCAATCTCACCTTCTTTGTATTTCTTATAGTTCTCAAAATCTAATTGGTTAGCGTCGAATTTGAATAACCCTGTATATCAAAATTTTCTTGAGTGAATGATCTGCTATAATATAGTTCATTCCACACAAGATTTCTATGAAATCGCAAATCTGATATGATTGACTGGTACGACTCCTTTTCTGTTTATGGAATGAAACCTAATGTCACCATGAAAATTTTCGAAATCAATAATGAAATGTCGATCAATGCTAGAAACATAACTCGATCAAATTGTTGATTATGATGTTGCAATACTATGAACTGTCTGATTTCTAGAGATTTATTTTCAATTTCCCAATGTTGCTTTCATATTTTTTAACAGTTACAGATGAAATGGAGTCGTCCACACGCAAATAATATCTGAACCTACTCATATGGCATCTGCCATCGCATGTTGGAAAATAAATTATGCACTCGTTGGATGATATCCACTTGGTAATATTGAACCTGACAATCTGATTCCTTATTGAACTTCATCAGACATAGCCAAAGTGTTCATTAGCGTTAATCATAATTGACTGATTGGTATAGTCATCGCCATGAAGGAGTAAATCATTCATTAAACTTCATTTACCCTAGCCACTTCGATTCTGATATTTTATTCATTCATACTTTCTCTGAAGCACACGAAAAAAATCCCTATGACATTCGCGAATCATCACACGAAACTGAGAAAAACGCTATAACCTAACAACCTTTCTGCCAAAAAAATTGCAAAAGCACCGGTTAAACTCTCATCGCTATTGAATATTAATGCAATTGTTATTCACCTAGCTCCTTCTCAATTCGAAGGTTTGATCAGAATCTATCAACATGCCACTTCAGCATTCAGAAATATAAAAATGTACTGTTAACGTAATGATGCTGTCCTAATGCATCGATCACTCTATGGATTATTTGACGATTAAGTAGGTGCGTGATTCGGAATTCACTTTCACCTTTATAAATTTTTTTTGATCTGCGAAATTCATAAAAGAGAGAACTATGATTTTTATTCCTATTCCAAGAATATAAATTTTAAGATTATGCAAAAATCCTCGAGAGCGCAAATCGAAACTCGATAATAAATTGAATTATATAAATAAATAACTCACCACTTTCATTTTGAATAGTTTTCTAGTATGACTATTAGACCACGAATGTGCTGAGGAATCGTCTTCAGTGAATTTATATATTTGATAATTATTCTGCATAAAGACCCCTCCAAATTTTTTTCGTCATCCATTAGCTGAGCACAATAGATTTTGAATCATCGAAATGATATTGACCTCTGAAACTAGTTTTCCCATACGGTCACATAATGCGGAATCATCTTCAATATTGGTTGGAGTCCCAAAAGATTTTACATTTTATTGCTGATTTATGCATTCTTGCGTGAAATATATCGTGAATTAAGTCACCTGTAGTAGCATTTATTCTCAATTAGATGATAATGTATTCATCTGATGGTGCTGAAAACTTGAGATCCTGGTTTGATCGTAATAATGAAATAATCTCCATTCAAAATCTTCACGTGAGCACATAACTATTCAATGCTATATATAGTTATTATTGATGACACAATAAATTGAACTCATTAATGTTTTATGCATTTCTATCATCTCCTTTATTGAAACCGAAAGTACAATGTTAAGTTTATACAACTGTGCCAACTAACGATATCTGTAACATATGAGACCACCCAAATATTATAATTTTATTATTGCGATCCATAAAACGGTAACTGTTGCAGTTGATAATTCAGAGAATGATGAGTAGCAAGTGATAGTTACTACTGCTGTTGCATGGTGAATTCCTTTTCACAAGAATTTCCATAATTTTTGAAATTCCTCGGATATTCCGGAATTGCTCGAGTCATATTAACTAAAAGAGCAAACTCTACAAAAAATTAAGATATATTCGTGGAATCTTTTTTTTGACAGATTCGTCAGTGTTCCATATGCTGTATGGTTAGTGGCTGCCCTTGTTGATAATCAAGTAACCCAACAGACTGTTGCAATTTGTTGATAAAATCATCAATACTTACTTACTTACATATCGTACGTACCGAATGCCTCTCAAAATGCGTACGGCATGTTCTCTAAGTGGCATGAAACAATAACAGTTGGGTGTTGATTATTATGCGTTCTCCGATTAACAGTTGCTATATGGCATTCAAGCCAAAACTGAATGAATGAAGACGAATCGGTAGGTCAGATTTAAACAGTTCTGATCCATGCTATAACTATACCATAACTCGAATTCAATGTAACTATCTCTTGGTATATTCGTTGTTATCCTGATTATACACTATTATACAGTATGTCGCATGATTGAAGGTACTTTGGATGTTTACAAAACCGGCAAATTGGATAATTCTGAAATTGTTGCTACTTCATTAATCGCTTTCGACCCCTGGAAATATCACAACTTGTGAGTACGAGATTGGCAATCTCTAGGAACCTCACCATAGTGTGGTTTGTGGTGGAGCATTTCGTGAATATCTTTCCTCGCATCACTCAGATGGTCCATCGGGGTGTCGATGAAGGATTTTGACCACCTCCGTCAAAAAATTTGCTCGCGAGATAACAATTCACGATATCTCAGCGATGCAATTTCGCCGCCTGTACTGAAAAATAGCATCAAATTCCATATTTCTGATGAAATATCCTGCATATTATTCTTGGGAGGTTTCGAGTTTCCTTATTTTTCCATCAGTAGATAGCTCTGATCAAATTTTTATATCTTGATTTTTAGGAATTTTGAGCGTAGCATACCAAGATTGGTATTGGTATCTTATGGACAAGGTTGTTATGTATTATACAGGATCTCTCTAAATTTGTGATTTCATCAGTATAGTTGGAAACTGTGGAAGGCATTTTTCAAAAACACCATCGTTGAAATCGTATAATCTATATGTATATATATATTCCTCCTACATTTTTTTTAATGTTCTGTATCCCACAAATAAGGATATCCCGTAATGTTCGGAGAACATCGTGAGAACCAAGAGAAATAAGGTAGGAATTGGTGTTCTTCTCGAATTTCTGGAGGTTATATGCCTTGGGGAACACCTACTTTGGCAATGTGTTTCAAAACCTTGCTATTCGTTGGATGAACGAGTCTTTGGAAAAAGATGTTCTGCAGGTCTCCAAAGTGACCACGAAGGGGTCCGGAGCCACAACTCGACAGGTTAATCTCGCAGGGACTGCCAAGAGAAGAACAATTGTTGATATTACAGAAGAGCATCGTTCAAGAAAATATCTATGGAATAAAGCCATATAGCCAACTTTCATACGGTGTTCCAGAGAAGTGAGTGAGTTTGTGAGCAAAGCATCACCCATCTTGAGACGAATTGCCTTTTCTTGGACAGAATTCAACAGTTTCAGGGTATGTTTGGGTGCTCCACTCCAAATATGGATACAGTATTCCAGGACAGGTAAAGATAATTAGACGAAAAATTTGATGATCAACAGTTATATGGAAACATTGATGAGTTTGAGATGAGGTTCAAATTAATGAAGTGGTGATAATCAATATGTTTGAATACCCTAACAACACAGGGATGTCTTAGGTATGTCCCCTTTTTGTCCCGCGGTACAGGGACATGATTGAGACATCCAGGGGATATCCTGCAGTGGTTGTCCGGTATGGACATCCCGCCCGGTACATCCCTAGGTTATCCTATTCGTGTCCCTGGAGTATCTGATATCCATTCACATCAGAGTCATTGAATTTCATCAAACTATTGAGTTGATTTTTTTTTGAAAATGTTTGTTTTTCTTCCGGAAAATGATTGTGATGAAAATAAAGAATGAAGTATCAGAACTTCTTGTGAAATTACCATTTTTCGAAGACAGAAATCGTACCTGCATAATGCCCCTCATTTTTGAACACCCAAGAATTATAATAATTATACCCAATTCCTAACAAACTTGTATTTATTTAGGTTTCTGTAGTTGAGTCCTGTTTATAAATCTGTTTAGTACATATATCTCAAGGAGGCATGATAGCCAATGGAGCAAGATGCGTGCTTGATAAGCCAGAGGTCCCAGGTTCAATCCCTGCTCGACCTATAACTTTTTTTTTCATCCCAGGGACGTACCAGAAGAACATCCTTTGGATGCCTCTATTTGTGGCCAGCGGATGTACCTGAGACATCCCTAGTATGTACGTTGTCCCGACAAAGGATATCCCTGGGATGTCCTAGTATGAAATCAGGGACGTCCCTGGGAAGTCCCTAGGATGTACTGGTGTTGTTAGGGTATCAGATTCGAACTCTGTTGTATTCTGTCCAAAAAAGAGCAATTCGTTTGATGGGTGATGCCTCGCTCACAAAAAAACTCACTTTTCTGAAACACCCTAGGAGAGTTGGCAAACTGGCTCTTTTCCAAAGATATTCTGATGGACGATGCTCTTTCGAAATATCAATAATTGTTCCTACCTTGGAAGTTCCCGCGAAATTAACCCGTCGAGTTGGAGCTTCGCATTTCTTCGTGGTCACTTTGGAGACTTGAAGAACTTCTCTTTCCAAAGCCTCATTCATCCAAAGAACAGCGAGGCTCTGGAACACATTGCCAAGGGAGGTGTTCTCCGAATTCAAGGAAAACACCAATTCCTACCTCATTTTCCTTGGTTCTCACGATGTTCTCTGAACATTACAGGAGATCCCTCTTCGTGGGAACCAGAACATGATAAAAATCGATTTTATTTTGGTAGATATATTTTCCTGATATATGCTTGAGTAGTGATCTTGAAGCGGAACATGCATCAATTCGATTATAAAAAAATGTTCACCCCTCCGAAATCAATTCTACTTGTCTGAGCGGATTTTTATTGATTGCATCACAATGGATAAAACTTCCTAGCAAATACGACAATGCTGGCGATTCAATGGCTGATTGGTTTCATCGATAGCATACTGCGCTGGCAGTATTTTTCGGTGATGAAAATAAAAACATGTTCATTGCTGTTTCAATCAGATAATCAACGGGAGAAATCCATTTTTCAAAGATCACTGGAACAGAACTGGTTGAACAATGAATAAAGGATATAGGTTCCTTAATATCATTGAGTCATCAATAAAATGACAATGGATTATCCGCCTATCAGATTCATTTCATTGAAAGCATTTTGCTGATTATCGACATGTTTTCACTATGTCTTCCATTTCGTTTTCTCCATCTTTTTGCGCATGAGCTATCATTTATTATTATAAGATGTGGGATGAAGAAGTGAATGAATAGAAAGTTGTATGGGTTCCTTTTTCATCCAATCTCATCTATTCGAAAAAACGAATTCAGTGATATTCTCCTTCGAGAACATGGAGTTTCAGTCCTGAAACGAATCTACTTCTACCCCAGACTTGAATCTTCGTCTCCACCTGACTAACGTTACAGCAGGCTCACAACTGGTTCAATCCAGATACCAGAGAAAAAAGTTCCCAAGTTCTGGCCATGTTCCGGATACTCCAGAAATCACAATAACAATCAACTAAAACAGAATTCGTATACTCTCGACTGATTGACCAGATCAGATATGGAAATATAACTAGATAAGAAACGTTCCATTGTAGTACTCAATTATTATTATTTCCAATATTATAATTGAAAAAATAATATTTCAATTACGTAACATCGAAATTTTATGTGTAAAGATAAATCAATTGATTCTCATTGACAATGCACTAAAAAAACGTCAGTCATCACTGGGCCAACAATGAACAAGCATTAAATGGAAGTACTTTTACGCCAATATTGGTGTTGAGCCGGTCAGTGGACAACTTTTGTGATTCACTATTGAAAAATGTGAATATTGAGCCATTGGTACTTCACTATGGTTACATTGCTTTCAAAGTGATGGCTCATGTATTTTTGTTTGCTAGGTTGGGTGGAACGTTTTCGATGGTCCACCTGATATATTCACTATTCCATCGAAACAGAGAGAAACAATCCAGAAGCAGAAGAAATCATACATCCTTGATGAGAAACATTTGAAAACTTGGAAGGGAACAAAAAATTATCACAGTGAGTACGGTGTATCCTTTTTTTAATATTCATCAGACTCAAGTCTCAATAACTAGTAAGCACATAATAATGCTAACAGGAATTGATAAAACCTGTCTTCTTCTTGTTCACAGAATGTATCTCTCATGTTCGCATTCCATTCACACACACACGACCTTATGTCTCCATGGATGGCCTTGTACAACAAGAGTGTGTGCACAAGCTCGTATATTC